CTCTTGCTTCTTCTTCTGCAATATGCACAAGGATTTTATTGCTACCATCAGCCCCGACCCATCCAACAACTTCCACAAACTATTTCACCCACCACCCTGACGCCAGCGTGTTAGCTGCAGATGCCAAATTGATGGAGCTGAATAAGCACGATGCCCCCAATCATCGAGCAACCTTACCACGACAGTGACGCTTCAAGGCGGGAGCCTAGGGAGCCTACAGTTTTGATGACGAAGTGAGGTTTGGGTTACCTGCAAACTCAGCTTGAGGGAGCTATGGGTCGGGAAACTGCTGGATGAAGAAGCTGCTTCCTTGGTCAAGGCGTACGCAAAGCAGCTACGAGATCTAAGGCGTATCGTGGATCAGAGGGAAAAATTTGTCCGCACAGCCGGCCCTCACCAAGATAGTGCAACGCACTTGGTCCAAAAAAGTTCGAGCCGTACCTCATGCAATGGAGCTTGATCTCTCCCCTTGCAATTGTGTAGCACAGACATCGCCCCTTCTAATAGCAAGTTGCCTTCCGTAATCGATCGTTATGCGGACGAGAAAACCTCCATAACCCAAGTTCAAGTCGAGGTTGAGATGGTGTCCAACTTTGCGTCGTGTCTCCCTGCATAGTGAAGCGATGGCATCCATGAGGTGCTCAAACAGTGGCAAGGACCCCGCAGTAACATTGCTGTACAATTTTGATCTTACACTCCTCTCTATAAAAAGAAAGCCTAGTTTGAAAAAATGTGACAGAACTTTCCCGCCAACCTAATACTATCGCCGTAAGAAGTCGATATATCAACTAGTTGTCTAATTGGTTCTGGCTATGCCGAGACTGCCCACTGAGAATGAAGCTTCCTTCTGTCCCATGTTTGAACCCCTGCATCGTGCAACACCTGCATCGTTCTGAGAAAGATATCTCATGAAGGACCCTGCCACCCCTTGCACCCACCCCCACTTAAAGAAACAATGAGTGCAATGGAGTGAAGATGCAACGAATCATTCCTTCATTCCCTGTATGAAAATGGTTTCTTCATCCAAATGACTAATAAAAGTTTTTTCATGCCAGAGGTTCCAACGAATTTCTCATAAAAGGTACTAATTGCAATTCCATTCTGCATATATCGCAAATGGTGAACATCTCTCAGTGACTAAAGCTAAACATTGAAATAACATGAAATAGAGCGCTTCAGGACGAACAGAAGTGTGAGAATTTCTTGGGGATGAGGTTTTGCAGTCTATGAAATGCAAATAAAAAGCCAACGTCATAGTTTATGTCGTCAGTTGGGCATACCGTAGCCCTGCCAGGCGTAAAATGAACTGTCTTAATCACACACAGCACCGTCAACCACTCGCCAAGCCAAAATTACCGCCCGGCCGAGGCTGTCTGTAAAGAGGGGAATTGCTTAGCCCTTGCTTCCCATTACACTTGAGCCAATTCCCCAACAATGGCCAGAACCATGCACCGATCTGGCCAACGTGTGCCGAAACAAACCCTCAGCTGTTTACTTCTACAGAAACTTACCAAGGAAATGTTTTCCGCAGTTTTCTTTGACTTCCCTCGCTTTCCTACTGAAGAAATCTTGGCGGAATACACTAGTTGCACTTGAAGTAGCCATAGGAGGACTTCCATCTGAATGACAAGAAATGGAAAAAAACCAAAAGTCAAACATGCTCGGGACCGGCAGGAGAATTAGAGATTAAAGTTGGAAAAGGATAAGGTTTTCAATGTTACGTAGCCTATAATGAAATGCGCCACGCTACTTACTTCCATTTGCGAGAGCAGGAGCATTAGAGTGTGATTTTGCCCTAATGAAGAACAGCAGAATCAAAAATCAGCTCACAAAGTGGGGAACATATTATGCAGAAATCAAAACGTGATTATATTTTAGGGAAAGTCATGGAGTCATCATAGTAAAAGTGAAAGGCTTGAAAAATCTTCTGAATGTGTGAGTTTACCCTATCACAAAAAAGCAAGGAAGAAAGCTTCTTGACCGAGTGACGTCGAACATCATTTCTGAGGATCTGAACCCACCAAGAATAATCGAGCCTGGTTCTTTGTCCTGCCAGGGAAACTGGTACTCTTCCTAAATGGCAAAATACAGTCTCTCCCAGAATATTATTGCTTGGACCAAGTAGAGGCTTTCTATTCTCAATTGAAGCCAAAAGCATGGCGTATCACAGAAAGATGACTCAAATTCGTTCACTTGTTTCGTCGACTTAATTGTCTTCGTGGCCGAATTAAAAATATCATCGAAATCTTCAGGGAGCAAACAGCTTGAAAGAGGAATTTGATTCCAATATATTTGGAAGCGACACTATATTGACTTTTCATGCTTGGAAAATGTGAATCACAAGAAATTGCTATGATTTCAACGATACTGGAACGGAACAACTCATCAAATTCCCAACAGTGTCTTACTGGTTACTTCTTCTGCCTTTTTGAACTCTTCTTATTATAGGAATGCTGTTTAGCAGACAGAAATCTCAACCTCAACCGAGTATTTCCAGCGAAGGGGGTCGTGTTTTGATGCTCGGGGCACTGAGGTCGTACTTGCTCTTGAGAAAAATAAAAAAAATATGAAAAAAATGTTGTCGGTCCCTGATTTTTCTCAGTTTTTCCCGACGAAAAACCCATACATGTGCTCTTTATATTTTCATTACACCCTCTCTCCCTCCGCCCGAAGCAGATGATAGGGGAATTACTGCAGATTTCTCTGGACAACTGGGAAAATTGGGTAGGAAGTTGGGATTACAGGAATGTGGTAGGTAGGTAATGGAAGTTGAAGACGGGTCGCACCGAAAAAGAAACTTTTTAGCGCGGTCATATTTTTCGGAACCCCTCTTCAACGGCAGGAAGTGCCCTGTCTATGTAGCGACCAATGCATAAAATTTGCACAACGGTTTTATTTTGAGATGCGCCTCGCAGTTTTCTTTTGTTCCCATCGTAGTGGTTTTCAGCGATTGGCTCAATACAGTGGCTCGCCGAGTCGATGTAATGTTGCGCTCATCCCTTGCGGCATCGTGCATCATCGACCAATAGCGTCTACGAGCGTTCCAAGCCTCCGGCAGCATCAGCGACTGAGAAAGTATGGATATCGATTAACGTTTGCTGGCGTCGGCTAGCGTCTACAGCGTCCACCGGTGTCTACCAGCGACCAGTAGCGTCTCGAGGGCTAAGGAAGCATGGGTATCGATCTATAGTCGGCCAGCCTACCAGCGACCAGCAGCGTCTGGAGTGAGGAGGGTGGCGCGATAGGAGGGTGCGAGTACAGCTGGTAGAGTGTGGGGAGATAGGTGTGAAGCAGACTGCTGGTAGAGAGTATGGCGCGATAGGAGGGTAGCAGACAGCTAAATCGCTCGTGGACCGCTGGCTCCATGCTCTGGCAGACGCGCTAGATCGATAGCTATATTTCCCTAGATAATATTTCCCTATTTTCCTCGAGACGCTGGTGGAAACTATTGGTCGCTGGTGGACACTGCCACAAAGTATGACCGCAGCGTAAGGATTCTGCATTTGTTTTCCCACAAAATTGTCTAACTGGGCAAAGCTGAAGTGATGGAAGACCTTGTTTGGTTAAGCGAGGGTCGATCCAGTGTACTACTCCTTTCCATGCTCGTGCAAATTGAAAGGCAAGTCGATAAATATGTAGTGTTCAAATCTCACATAATCTTTACAGTAGTATGCTGCTACAGATTCTGTTGGCGTCCCTAATCACTGCTCTAAATTACATATGTTGGTAAACTGGAGTCAGTTTCATTGAGGTGGTAACTACGCGGAGCGTGAGGTGCAGGTTCAAGCGGCCCATTTGGCGGCTCAAGAGCTCCTGCCCCGATGACTCTGCATGCTTGCAGAACTTTTCGGAGCGAGAACCAGGCGCCATATACCAAGCAGCTTTCATTAATGAAAAACGCGAAAAGCAAAAAGAAGCTAAATCATATGGGCACAGAGCCGGATGCATTTGTAAACAGAGCTGTTGCGCTCCGAGCTGGCATTGAATCATTAACAATTCAGCGCTGTGATTCACAGTTTTCATCCATAAGAAGTCAGAATATAGTGTGCGCTCAAACTTATATTCGAATCATAATGTCCGTTCCATGCATTGTTTGACAGTGCTGAAGCGTTCGTACATACAGTACGGTATTTCGTCACCATAAAGTTGGGCGGGGGTCACAAAAGGTAACAATATCAAGATATCAAGTAGCTTGCATGTTGAGCCAGAATTTTTCTGGTCATGCGCTATGGCAGACGGCTTTACATGAAGATCGGAGAAGCCGAATTATTCCCGAAGCAAGTACGACTCCAGCATAGGCTTTCGTTCTCCGCGCAATACAGGGCAAGCATGTGAGCAGCTACGCAAAACAGGAGATGGGAAGCATTAGATTCGATTCATTTTGGGTGTTTCAGTCTGGAGTGCGATGGGCGTCATACTATCTTGAAGATTTCTTCCTCACGTTGCTAGTGAATGATAAACTATCAATCTAAAAAAAGCTTCTCAAGCTTTTCATCTGAGGAAAAAGTCCAAGCTTCCCAATCGTGCTATGATGACTCTACAACTTTTCCTGAAACTACCATCACTCTTGATTTCTACGTGCTATTATATTATACTCACCCACTTTTTTGTCTTTTCTATCCTTCATTAGAACAGAAACACGTTTGAATGCTCGTGCAATTGCAAATGGAAGTCAAAAGCGTGGCGCATATTAAAAATGAGCTGAGCTTTGTACTTTATGAACCTCTCAAGCTCTAACCCTCATCCAGATTCCGATCAGGCTCCATTTCTTTACTCTTCCGTTTGTTATCTTTCAAATGCGAGTCATCCTATGGCTATTTTGTTTGCATCTGGTGTATTCCGCCAAGATTCCATCAATGCAAAGTGAGGAAAATAAAGAAGACTGTGTAAAAAAATTGTCTCCTTGGTAATTTTTTTGTGAAAAAAAGATAAGGTTTCGATTTGGGCAGGGTAGCCTATTCGAAGAAGCGCTAGGGTGAGGCTTGGTCAAAGGTAACGCTGGCAAACAAGGGGGAAGCACTTCCGCCCTCCACCGAGAGCCTGATTCATGGCAATAATGTTGCATGGTACTATTGCTTGAGGGTGTTGTATGAGTGAAAGGCGTCGAGGCGTTCCATTTTACGCTTGGTATGGTTACGGTATGCCCAACTGACAACATAAACTTACGCAAAAACCTCATTCTCGTAGAATCCCTCCAGCACTTCTGCTCTTGCTGAAACGCTGTTTCACGGGATTTCATATTTTCTTAATATTTAGCCTAAGTCACTGAGAGATGCTTATACAGGGGGGAGGGCAAAAAAAGACTTTTTTCTTCCTTGACTTTCGAGGCGCTATAAGTTACACTTTATTGAATTCTTATCGGACATTTCTACCACCATATTAAAGAGCATATTAAATACTATCACGATACTCCGCCACAGCCTTCTGGAGGAGCGCCATCGAGAGATTCTGCCACGCGACCGTGAGTGGGTGCCTGAGTTCAGCGAGATCGTTGATTTCTCCGCCACTGTAGACCACCCTATTGAACTCCGCCCGAACCAGGTAATTGAGGGGGTTTAGGTCAGGTGACCTGCTTAGATATTCCACCTTCTTCAGGTACTCAACGCCCTTCCATTCCAAGTAGGCAAGAGTTTTCCAACGCCCTTTGATTCCATGTGGTGTCACCCAATCCTGTAGCAGTACAAAGTTTCCAAGAAGGTACGGGCGACGACATGTGGAGAGGATATTCTTCTCGAGTTGCTCGATGTAACCGCCAGCGCTCACCTTCAGTCCGGGGCCCACGAAGAAAATATCGGTCTCTCCATTCCAGGTACGTCCGGTCCCCACCATCAACTGGCGCCTTGGCGACTGAGGTGAAGATGATGTCCTAGACCGTAAACCTTATTCCCTTTTTCC